TGGCTTTTTGAGCCACAGCCAAATATCCTGGGCCTAAGTGAGTTCCAGGGCTTTGACGCCAAAGCTTTCTCGATTTTCGAGGATGGGCCTGGAGGCCAGTGCCATGCTGAGTCACGCAGATGCGCTGTGGCGCAGTGAGGGCCTGGAGGACACGGAGAAGCGCCTCGACAGAAGTAGGCGCAGAGGCTCCCCGTTTTTCCCGTGGAAACCGACCGAGTTGGTGCTGAAGGTGTTTCTAGGCTCCCCTTTTTTTCCCCCCATGGAAACCGAGTTGGTGCTCAAGGTGTTTCTTCTGGTTTCAGGTAGGTCTTAGTGGGTGGATTGGTGCTTTGGCAATTTGGATTTGAAGCCCTTGTGCAGGGTTTTGTGAGAAGCTAATCACGAAACCACCAATTGGGGGATGCTGATGATTGTTTGTGTCACTTGCCACAAGCCGACCTATTGATCTGTTGTTTTCCGGTTTCAACAGGAAGACAAAGGGGTAGGGTTCCAGAACTGTTGTTCCAGAACTGTTTGGTAGGCACACGCAAAAATTGAACACATACCGTATGCGTTGCAAAACGACTTTGTTCTCGCAGACTGCATGCTACCCAAAGAACCGAATCCAATGGAAGCTAGCGGGGTATGCCTGTGAAGGCTTTGCCCCCCGGACCGGCGTGACACCTGAAACGTTTCTAAATTCTAATTGCGAGCCCTTTGGTGGATATCATTTAGGTAGGGGTCTATGCCACCAACCATTTGGGTGGTATTCCTCACAAAAAGTCATAGCCGCAAGTCAATTTCGGCATGCCCCCAGCTGTTTTCAACATCTCCTATAGCAAGGAATCGGTGCCGATTCGTTTGTTGCCATCGGTTCCCTGTCAGCCCGTTCCAAATTCTGCAGTGGTTGAAAAGTATTATTTTAGGGAATGAAAAGTATTATTTTAGGGAATCATCCGGTTTCAAGGTGCAAAGTGGATTTTGTATATCCGCACCATCTTGGATTTGCGTAAGAATATGTTCCCCTGTTGGGTTTAAAGAGAATCTACAACTATGTTGAACTTTCCCGGTTTCACTACTGAAACATGTTTTTTGCAGAAGACGAATCCGCAAATAGAGGCTAGCATGATTTCTCGAGGTTAAGGACCCCCAACACAGCACTGGGTTCCTTTTTCGCTTTATTCAACAGGGGGCCAGGGCTCCCCTCCGCAAAAAGAAAGAAGAATCCACACAACGATAAACAATCAGACGACACGCCCACGGCTCTCCAAACACAATCGAGACCCACAAATACATACATAATAGAAACACGGCGGCCTGGCCCAAAACAAGTGCCTCCGTTTGTGCTAGGCAAGGTGTTGACCAAACTCAGTTCGTAAACAGGCTTGGTTTCTTCAACAAATGTGTGGCTCGTTGTATTTTTTCCTTGAGGCCTGGCACCTCTCGTTGGTAGTGGTTTCAAAGGGAAACCAAAAGCAACACTGAAGTGAAAAACAAGCCACACAACACCTCGTGTGTTACATGCCGATTCCTCCTGAGCTCCGATACTGCAAGACGACATGCGCAACCCAAAGCCGCATTTGATAGCTGTGACGCCACGATGTGGCCATTCGGAGGCACCCGATGGTTTCATGGCTCTGGGGCCGATTTGGATCAAACCTGAAGCGTCTCCTTTGGTTTCGGGGATCCAATTTCAAGCTGGGGTGGTCCAAGGGGGAGTTTTACAAGGCTCTGAACTACCTACCGGCCTTGCACCTACTCCCCCAAAAAAATCAGAACTGAAGCCTCTCCAGTGTTGTTTGCGTTTGTCATTGTATGCTGCTGGCCCGTGTTTCACGTCCTTTTCAGATGGGGCTTGCTTTGGGCCAAGGTATATGAGGCTCTCCGTAAATAGCTGTATTCGTTTTTTAGTGGCTGGTGGCGGTGGTTGTGTTGGTAAGTAAGTGAAACGCAGGCCGCGGAAGCTCCGCGCAAGCGGCGCGGCAGCTGCGACCTGTTATGTTCTTTCAAACTATTGGCTTGCCTTTAAACATGTTACACGCTTGTACCGAAAAGTTACGATTCTCAAGTTGGATCTCGGAAAGTGCACCTCGCGTACCACATCTGTGTATGAAAAGTTCCAGATCAACGAGCTGGAGCTGAGAAAGTGGCCTTCGCGTACTACATTTGTACTAAAAATTGCGATTCTCGAGCCGGAGCTCGGAAAGTGCCCGACGCGCACTGAAATAAACAACCCGCGCCTTTTCGTTATGTAAGAGGACGTCCCTTAACTTGTTTTGCAGGCCCAAGCCACTGTAAACCGATACAGAGGAAAACAAAAAAAACGATACCCCCAGAAGCCATCAAGACACACATCAGGTTCAAGCTGTTGTCGCAAACCAAGATTGCGGAATCAGACATTTGCAGGGCCCAAACCGATACCCAAACCGATGCCCAACGGATACCCAACTCATTAGCTGCTGTACAAATCAAACTGACCATGCCTGGACAAGAAAACGGTTTGGTTTGAACGATGCCCCGAACGATGCCCAAACGATGCCCGCAAACTGGAACCAAGAGCCTGTCCCGGAATGTTCTCGAGATCTTCTAAGGAGATGCCTTGGTCTGGATCTGCTGAATAACCAATCGCACTTTCACAGCTGACCAGAGCAGATGAAGAGCATTCGCAGCTATGAATGCTGCAGAAGGTACGCTGTGCGCCGCGGAAGCGGCGCGGAAGCGGAGGGATCGCCGCTTCTTCTTTTTTCTCAGTGTTTTACGGAAATTCTCATATGTTGCATCAACGTGCCAGCTTCCTTACTGAACTGGGCGGGATGATCAATCCTGTGAGAACGTTCGTGCTTAAGAACCCCCTCTTCTCTTTTGTTGGCATCTTGTTTGGTTTTTAGTTGTTTTTTGGGATCTGTCTACTTTTTGTCGGGGTTTGCAAAGAGCAACGTTTTCTGCTACTATACCAAGGGTTGGTTAGAGCGATCGCAGATCTAACTCCTCAGAAGCGATCGCAGGCGATACCCCAGGAATTCACGTGGGAGATGAGCTGAGTGCGAGTCAGACACCAGCCGATCTTCCGGCTGTTCAGATGGCTGTGGATCAAAAACGGGGTAACCCCAAAATGGAACCTAGTAAATGGAGCCAAGAACTAAAACCTGCGTTCCCCTGGTGGTTAAAATTTGACCCATACCCAGATCATGTTGAGCCTTCCAGCGATGAAGCACAACTAAACCATACTGAGCCAGGGAACCCCCCACTCAACCAGGGGATTTCTATGCATGAGCCGGTTGTTAATTAATTTATCCGGGGATCCCATTACCCTTTGGGGAGTGCCCCCGGGTCTGGGTCCTAGCCAGCCTGAGGCTTGCAAAAGTTATCTCAGTGCTCATGGAATTGGACAAAGGCCTTTGTGAGTGGATGGTAGAACTACATCCTGCTGTCCACATGTCTCCCAAGTGATTGGTGGTTGCTAGCACGGAAACCAACATGTGGGGCCCCCTAAACAACTAGGTCCCCAGTAGTGCCCTTGTACCCCTTCTTTGGGGGAGGGTTCCTCTACTAAAATAAACTGCAGAAAGAAGTGGTACCCGTATTCTAACCTCTCTACTGGAGGACCTAGACTCAAAGACGTGCGCCCATTCGTCTTCAAGACAAGTCTTCGCAAGACTCGAGGCTCTTCGGAGTGAGACAAGCGGACTTCCACAAGGTTTTGGACAGCGACTGGGTGGTCCTCATCATGAACATCATGATCCTGGAGCCTTGAAATGGGTCGGATTGTTTTGGGGGGGGACCGTTTGGTGAACATAATTTAGGTGGGGATCCAAAATGGGTGGGATCTTGTGCGGGAAGGCGCTCAATCAACAACTGAAAAACCACCAAGAACTTTTCAATACAGACAATCAACCACTTTTGCGGGGGGACCCGTTTGGTGGACATCATTTAGGTGGGGATCCATGTTCACCAGCCACTTTGGAGGGGGTTGCCTATTTAAAAAAAAGAAAAAAACATAGCCAAAACCGACCCGAGGAGTTTGAAGAAATGATTCCCTGGAAGCTTCCTGGAACCTTCCAACCTGAAGCAAGGCTACGCGGAGTGAAGGCCCTGGCATGGGATCTGGATTTGCGGTTGCGACTGTGTTGTATTGGGGAGCAGCAACCCGTTTAGGAGGGAATCCGGCTTGGTTGTTGGGAGACCATTTGTTTATGTAACCTATGTATCCTGTAAAGAACCCTGTTCAACCGCAAAAGGAGTAACACCTGAAGTGTGCAGGCATGGGCAGAGCTTGATTTGTGTCTTTTGCAAAACCTTTTGGGAACAACCCAGCCAATCTGAGAAGTCTCACTCCCTGAGTTCCCGGACTTTAAGCCGCTTGGGTTTGGACCATAGTGGCGCCCAGCAAGTGTGTCTCTTTTTTCTTGGGCCAATTTTTCGGGGTAGCCTTTCAGTGAACCAACCAACCTGGGAGTGGCCAAGGGGCCATCCAAGTAAGGCTTTGAGGCGTTTGAGTATGTCGAAAAGAGAACAGGATCGAACAAGTGGCGGACTTTGGGTCCGTTGGTTTCCCATTCTTCCAAAGCAAAGGGGTTCCCTCCAAAGAAACAAAGAGAGGAGCAAGCCGGGTCTGGGACTCGGATTTCTCCAAGGCAATCAAAAAAGGACAGTTGTAAAATTGTTCCGAGGAAGCGGGCAAATGGGCAAACCATTACCTTCACCGCCAAACCAGCGAGCTCCAACGCACCAATTAGAGGGAAGTTGTGGATAGGAGAATTGCTCGCGCAGGTCAACCGAGATTCCGGACAATTTGATTGACCCCTATCATCCCCTCCTTGGGTATTTGAAGGGTTTCCCCAAAGCTGGACGAACCATTTCCCATAGCGCCAATTTTCCTTGAGGGAGTTCAGGTCTTTTGGCTGCCAGTTGTTCCTTGAGCTTCCTTTTGGTGTGATGTTCAAAGAGGAAATCTGGGTGTGTGGTTTTGTGGAGGGTACCCCTGTTTGTGGTGTTTAAAGTCAACCCAAAACGACAATTGCCACAATTGTGGGGCGATTCCTAAACAAGGACAAACCCCCCCCCAAAAAAATGGAACCCTGGGTTTGTTCTGTGGCTGCGTCCTTTTTTAGGGGACGCCCCAAAATGGCAAACCGGTTTTCCTTTCGGCTTCCCTTTAAGACCACCAAAAACCGGAGTACCAAGTCCCAAAACAGACGAGAGCCATGCGGACCTTGGCATCCGGCTGCGAGGAGTTCAACCAGTTGCTCTTCCCTCGGCGCTGGCCGATCCGGTGGGGCCTGAAGGACGCGCGGAGTCGTTTCAACGACCGGCTCCTCAAGAACTGGCTGTGGCTCAGAAAACCGGTACCAAAATCAACCCTGGTAAGTGGAACCATGGACCAAAACCTGCGTAGCCCCCCCTGTTTAATTTTGAGCCACGCCCAACTGGATCACTGCGATTTGTTTCCCTCAACGACGCTCCCAACTCATGTTTCGGGCCCTCGCCCACCCCCCCCCACCCCCTCCCTGGGAGGGCCCATCAGCCTCTGGCAAGCCAAGATATAGAGGGTCGGTCAAAAGTCGATTTCGTGGCTTTTTTTGGATGGATTTGGAGGGACTGATGAACAACTCAACGCAAAGTTCTGGGTGATGAACCTGATTTGCTTATAGTCATCAGGGTCAAGTGGTTTTGACCATGGCGCGTCAGTGGAACAACCATCCCAAGCAGTATCCACAATGGCATCGGGGAACAACTTTACCATAATCTGAAACTTGCCCTAAGACTGCCCTAGACTCGGGCTGCAGACTGTGGCTGTTGGGGCGAAACAACAAATGCAAGCATGTGGTAACAGCAACGCCCAACCTGGAGGATGATTCGGAAGGACCCCCGTACCCCAACAAAGTATCTGTTTGTTTTGTTATGATGAATTTGCCCGTGTTTTCCCGGCCATCCAAAAGTGTTTTCCCTAGTTCGCTTGCAGCACACCCGCAGGAGACGTTCGACTTCGTCCGAGGCCACCGTTTTTGCGGACCGCCCTACGATCGATCCTTTAGGCGCGGGATGTCGGGCGGACAGGTTGCCAGACTTGCCCGCCGTTTTTGCGCTTTGTGCACTCATTGCTCAGGGAACCCGCTTTCCTAAGCGGATTCCAGCTTCCATCAACGGCGGACAATCATGTGTGCCATTGCTTGGAACCCGCTTAGGCTCATTGCCGACCTTGTTCACATAATTTGTCTTTTTTTGGCTTGATCATCATGTTCCGTTTGACCAGCAAACAGGCAAACCGCGCGTTAGAGGAGTTGAGCGATTCGCTGACGATGTTTGCTGGCAAGGTTCCATGACAGCTTCTACTTTGTCACACACATCGCCTTTGCCATTACCGCGCCTTCGACTGCATGTGATGCAAGTGGCACCGGCCATGGCTACTGAGTCAACGCCAGCCTTATTGATGAGTCTTTCACTAGTACCCAGCTTGATTGAAATTTGTTTAGTATCCCAAGCGAGCCCCAAAGGACTGTCCTTTGTCTGCCTGTTTGGTTACTCGAGGCCATTCAGGCTCGCACATTGCAAGCATGGGCCATGGGTATACAAACAGAACACCTATGTCTAATAAGTTATGGGACACACATACATATGTATATGTATATATATATATACACCTGTATGTCGTTTTGGAGCCCCATCCTCAAGGCCTTCAGAAGCCCTAGAGACTTCTTGAAGCCTTCAAAGTGGTTCAACAGGACCCCAAATGCGCGAGGACCTGTTGGAAACAAAGGGTTGTGTTTGTTTTCGGTTGGACCCCCCCACAAAAACAATGATAGCCGTCCTTTTGGTTTCCTTGAAAAAAGACGAGCCGCCCAAATGTTTATTCCACTAAACCCGCCAAAAGTCGACCTTTTGCTCAGAGGGCCGGAGGCATCCCGAGCTTGGGAATCGATGCGGAACGGAGGTAGCAAGCGAGTTGCGTCCAGTTGCTCAGTCCCGGTGGATCCCAGCGACTAGCCGGCAACCAGCTTGTTTTCTTTTGGTTTTTATACGTATCGGGTGGTTCCCTTCATTACCTACCATGCAGGTAAATGGGATCCACTGCGTTTTTAATGGGTCTTAGAGGCAATCTGTTACTACTGGACAAATGTCCATTTCTTCCATGGACTTGAGCAAATGTATGGTTTGGAAAGGCAAATCCGAGCGAGCCCCAATTTGTTTTGGGCACCTTTGAAGGTGATATTGAAGGAGACTGTGCCTGCTCTTTAGGCAGGTGAAACTGGCATGGTTTGTGAGGCCTACTCCGCCATCAAGATGAACCCCAAGGATGTGCCAATGGCTGCAACAGAGTCTCTGAATACCCACATATTCAGGTCTGAAGGTTTCTTCACCATTCTGTTCACCCATCAAACGTTGGTTTTTTGGGTTGGGGGCCAGACTGTTCTAGTCTCTTCAGTGTTAGTATTCAGGATCCTTCGTCCGGAGAAGAGTCATTTCCGAGTCTCGTCTTCCTGGTGCAACACCTTGAACAGCGAAGCGCAGGCTCTAGTCCTTGGGTCCTTGTCGCCCAGTTGCTTTTACCACGAGATCATCAGGTCTGGGCATTTTGACAAGCGCCCAAGATATTTTGTTTCTGAAGTGAACCGTGTTGTGAGGATTCCCTTTGGGGTTTGTCTACTTGGCCGCCGATGTGGGTTGGCATTTTCTGGGGTTATAACCGCCTTGCTAGCAGGGCAATTACTTCTTTACAGCCTTTTTGTGGGGGCCAAGTAAACATTTTTTGTCCTTCTTGATCCCAGGGAAAACATCTCCAGGGACCGGACGGCGAAGAAATCCAACCCCAGGGTCAACCCTACAAGAACAAAAGAAAGTTCCAACAAAAGTGTGCCTGTAGTTTCCCCGCCCAAAAAAAAATCCACGCAGCTTTGGGAGGAAAGAGAAGGCAACACCCGCATCCAAACCTAAGACTTGGGGCACTTCCCGGGGCTCAGGTCCCTTGGCTCTACAACTACAACCGCCGCGCATGTTTGTACTGGGTGAAGATGGCAAGAGTCCGAGAGCCCGGGTGCCCAAAACTTGGGCAGGGCACTTGCCGTCCCATGAACCAAGTACCTCATTGCTCGAAGCGACTTGTCGTCGTGTTTCACGTGTGTCGCCGCGTTTGTGTGTATGATTATGTCATTTGTGAGTTTGTTTGCTTGCTTGCTTGCTTGTTTGTTTGGTTGTTTGTTTAGTTGTTTGTTTGCTTGTTTTTGCTTGCTTGTGTGTTGGCATGTATGACTCATTGTTAGCTTGCTTGTGTGTTTGTGAGTACGATGGTTTGTGTAATTTCTTGCTTACTTGCTTGCTTGCTTGCTTGCTTGCTTGCTTGCTTGCTTGCTTGCTTGCTTGCTTGCTTGCTTGCTTGTCTATTTCGCTGTTGTTTGCTTTGTTGTTTGTTTGGCCGTTTGTTTGTTTGTTTGTTTGTTTGTTTGGTTCACTGCTTGTTTGTTTGCTTGATTGATAGATTAATTGGTTGGTTGGATGTGTATCTGGTTGCTTGTTTCATTGTTGCGTATTTAATTTTCAGCTCTGTTTGTTTGTGTGTGTCTCTCTCTGTCTGCTTGTTTGTTTGTGTGTGTGTTTGTGTGTTTGTGTGTGTGTTTGCGTGCTTGTTTGTTTGTTTGTTTGTTTGTTTGTTTGTGAGTTTGTTTGTTTGTTTGTTTGTTTGTTTTGTTTGTTTGTTTGTTTTGTTGTTTTGCTTTGTTTTGTTTTGTTTGCGTGTTTGTTTGTGTGTTGTGTATTGTTTTGTTTGCGTGTGTGTTTGCTTGTTTGTTTGTTTGTTTGTTTTGTTTGTTTGTTTGTTTGTTTGTTTGTTTGTTTGTTTTGTTGTTTTGCTTTGTTTTGTGTTGTTTGCGTGTTTGTTTGTGTGTTGTGTATTGTTTTGTTTGCGTGTGTGTTTGTTTGTTTGTTTGTTTGTTTGTTTGTTTGTTTGTTTGCCTGTTTGTGTGTTTGTTAGTTAGTTTGTTTGTTTGTTAGTTTGCTTGTTTGTTTGTTTGTTGTATGTTTGTTTGTTTGCGTGCATGCTTGCTTGTTTTGTTTATGTTTTGATTTATGTTTCTCATTTGTGCGATATGTTTTGTTTGTATGTTTTAGTGTTGTGTTTTGTGTGTTTGTGTGCTTGGTTGTTTGTGTGTTTGTTTGTTTGGTTGGTTGTTTGTTTGTTTTGTTGTTTTCTTTGTTTGTTTTAGTTTTGTTAGTCTGTTTGCTTGTTTGCTTGATTGTTTGTTGTTTTGTTTGTGTGTGTAGGTTTGCTTTTGTTTTTTGTTTGTTTGAATTCTTTTGTGTGTGCGTGGCTTGTTTGTTTTGATTGTTTGTGTGTTTGTGTTTTGTTTTGCTAGTTTGTTTGCTCGTTTGTTTGCTTGTTTGGCGTGTGTTTGTTCGGTCGTGTGTGTGTGTGCTTTTGTGTGTGTGTTGTTTCTGTTTGTGTGTTTGATTTGTTATGTTTGTTTATTCATTGTTTGTGGTCTCGCTTGTTGCTTGTTTGTTTGTTGTGGTTGGAAGTTTGTTGATTGTTTGTTAGTTTATTGGTTCGTTTGCTTGCTTGTCTCTTTGTTCGGTTGGTAGCTTGTTTGCTTGCGTGGTTGCTTGTTTGCGTGGTTGCTTCGTTGCTTGATTGCTTGTTGGTGCTTGCCTTTGTCTTTTCGTTGTTGTTGTTTCCATGATGTCTATCCGAGTCTATCCTGTTTGTTTTCCAAGGTTTGCCAGTTGTTCCAGCAAGGGATAGCTTAACAGATGCATCGGATGTGTCCAACTGAGCGATGTGAATTATTACCATGGCACAGTAGTCTCAAGAAAGCAACAATAGCTGTTCTAGGAAGGGTCTGATCCTTCTTAGGGACACCCATTGCCTTCAATTGCTCCTTGTTGAAGGCCCTGGCAGTAGTTGTAGTCGCCTTTGGAAAAGCAATAGCAACTCTTAGGAGGTGCATCACAGAGGTTGGTTTGCTCTGCTCACTTGCCCAAAGCTGACCTTTTGGACCTTTTAGTTTCCCCTTGTTCGTCCAATTTTAGTGGCCCTAAGGGGCCCCTGTTGTTCCGTGGGATGAAACGGTGTCCCTTTTGTCTCGCTCCACCAAAACCAAGTCCTTCCATATGGGTGGCTCGTCTTCTTTTTGGGAATTGGACCCCCGAAATCCAAAGTGGCGGTTTTCCTTTGGAGTCCCTTCAGCCAGAGAGGGGTGCCCTTCGCCTCAAAGACGAGCCACCTAGAATTCCCCCCAGCTTTTTCTCAGCGATGTTGGGAAGCCATCCGTTGTTTTGAGGCCTTAGAAGCCAGCGACGCTTGTTCTGAGGCCTTAGAAGCCGATCTTAAATTCTTTACATGGTTTTGGGGTAGACCATTTTAGTACCAAGTTTTTTTTTAATTTATGACTCACCTGTGGTTCTCTTGTCAAACACTGATCGCGGGGTCCATAGGAGCCATGGTCAAAATGGCGTTGAACGGGTTTTGACCCGGGGGGCTTCCCGGATTCCAAGCACTTTTTTGCCGCGAGTTGGTCACCTTTTTGGTCATAGGGCCAGCAAAATAAGCAGATGTTAGCCCCATGTGTGCGTCGCGACTGCAGGTGGGCCTTTCGCTTCCTTCGTTTCTTGGAAAGGTAGGCAGGTCTTCTAAGATCTTTGCTTTATTGTCGTTTGTCTTCCTTTTCAAGTGGCCACTCTCTGTTCAAAGGACATAAGTAACTTCTATTCACGCAAATTATAAACTTGCTTGCAACAAGAATATTATTATTTTTTTCGGAAACCGACCTCGTGAGTAGGTAAGAATCATTGGTGTAGGTCAACCAAACCTTGTTGTCCCACTTGTGACCCGCTTGCAACCTACTCACTATGTAGGTTGAACATCCAAGTACTTTCGTAAGATGTGCGTTGAGCCCCTTCACATAGATGTTCATACAGTCATACAGTTACGTACATATACCAAAGACCCCTCTGGGGTTGGGTTCGCGTTTAATTATTTAGCTGCGAGGGAGCGAGGGTCGGTGGGATACCGACAGGAAGCTTTCCGGGAGCGCAGTGTACCGTGCAAACGCCACTGGCTGGAAGTACAGGATGCTGTAGGCTCCTTCTGGTAGGATCGCCTGCCTGCCCAAGACGGATGCGGGTTGCTGGGTTGCAATGCTTGAGATGTGTTTTTTTTCAAGCACCTTGCAGATGTATTAGAAAACCATCCATGCATGTTTGCACCCAGTTGGTTGCAAATGCGCAAATTGCCAACTGGTTAGGCAAGGGGCGCTGGTCCGAGAGTTCGGAAGGAATCTTGTGGACACTCCTTGCGATGAGCCCTAAATTCCCAGTGTCGTTTGTGCGGAGGGGTTTTGTCCGGAGACAATGCTAGAGGAGGTGGGATATATCTATATAATATGTATATATATATATCTATATATAATACATACATATATATATAATATATACAGTATCTATTTGAAATGTTTGCATAGAAAGGTTTCCTGGCGCTCGCTCCGTTCTGCAGATCCGACATGTCCTTCTGAGGTCCTCGGAGCCCCAACTGCTGGTGGATATCGATGGGCTCTCGGAGGCCATGGACGTGCTCAGGGGCTGCGGTCTCACAGCAGCCCGTCCGAGCGTGTTTCGGTGGACCGGTTGCTTGGTTGTTTTGCTGCTGATTTTTGTGGGTTTTGGGCCAGTTCTATTTAAGACCCTGCGTATAAGTTACAAAGGTCACATCATGTAGCTCTAGGTCAACCGACCCGTGTCCCGCGTGATAACGTCTGCAACCTCACAGGCTAGGTTGAACTTTCAAGTGGTTCACTGCTGCAGTGCCGCTCGAACACTTGGAGCAAAAGGTTGCAAATCCTTTGCATTGTGCCCGCATCCCCTCACATTCTGATGTACCCCAACTTTGGGGCGTATAACTGGGGTTGTCTCATGAGACGCCAATGGCCAGGGGTTTCCTTGTGGCTTTCGTATACCCAAGCTGGGCACCTTGAAACAACTCCCCGTGCTGACTTAAAATCGCTCGCACTTATGAGAAGAGGAAGCTCAATTGTTTTTCCTTGCGAGCCAGTCTACGAGGATGGGGCAGTCTGGTGAGGGTGAGGTTGTTTTTGTTGTTTTTTCTCGGTGTTCCGCGTGAGGTGTGTTTGATTGCTTTGATTTGGTTTGGTTTGGTTTGATTTGGGTTTGTTTGTTTGTTTGTTTGTTTGTTTGCTTGTTTTGTTTGTTTGTTTGTTTGTGTGTTTGTGTGTTTGTGTGTTTGCTTCTGTCGGTGTGTTTGTTTATTTGCTTTTTGGTTTGTTTGTGTGGTTGTGTGTCTTCTGTTTGCGTTTTCTTCTGTGTGTGGCTTGTTTGTGTGCTTTATTTGCCTTTCTTTGTTTTCGGTTGTTGGTGTGTTTGCGTCTTCGTTTGTTTTTTGTTTCTTTGTTTATTTGTTTGTGCGTGTGTTGTTGTGTTAATCAATTACCTTAGCTAGTTATTTTTCTATCCATTCAACACAGAATATTTGTCAGCTGTGAAGCCAGAAGCCATCCTAAGGGGGTCAACATCATTATCGGAAATTGCAACTCGCTTAGCGATCAGACCGATCAGGGCCCTTTCTGGGGGGTTTTTAACTCAGGTAGGTGTCCAGCTTTGAGCGGGTTTTCACCAAGTGAAGGTGGTGTCCCGTTTGTTGGGGCGATGTTTAACGAAGAAATGTGGGTTGATTTTCAACTAGGACCCAAAAGCTACTGTCCCTTTAGTTCCCCTCAACAAGAACCCCAAACAAATACACTCACAAAAACCTAAAGTCAGGAAACCCTGAAATGGTGGTTCTCGTTCAGGGCAAATGACTCCCCAAAAGAGTGGTGTCCTTTCGAAAAGCAAGCCCTCAAAGGCAGGGCATGCCCATGCTCCCATTGACTCAGGACGGCGGGGATCGTCTACTGTGCTCGGCCACCTTGGCGCTGTTAGACCTGCAGCAGAGTGATGGCTCTTGGCCCTACTGGGTACTTCGGCCAAAGAGTTGTGGTGGTTTTGCGAGTTTTTTTCTGCAAGGCAGCCGGTTCCTCGGCTGTCCTTTTCCCTGACTGTTTGGGATGTTAGTGTGGGGTTCGCTTTCAAATGAACGCACTCTCTAAGTTTATGAACTTTCGTTGGGGAGGCCATGGTGGTAAGCAAAAAGTTTGAACTCTTTCGGTCAATCCCCTCGATCGGAAGGGAGGCATAGGCTTGGAAACCCCTGAGAATGAAAAGTCTGGGAAAGGACATAAACTGCAATGTGTTCTTTACTTGCCCAAAGCGAATCAACTTGACATCTCCTTTTGGTTTGCCCTGTTTGGTCCATTTTTGGTCATGGCCCCAAAAGGTGAATCTTCTATTGAAGGGTATTTCACGGGGCAGCCGAGCTGCAGCTTGGATTCCCTGAATGCCAATGCCTTTCAGGTCCGAATCCATTCGTACCCCATCCCCATTCTTTTCAGGACCTTCCCTGACGCCCAATTTTTCTGTGTCCCTCAGAATATGGCATTTGGTATGGTATGGCTGTAAGTTAGAGTCTGATTGTGGGTAAATGAAGAAGGGGAGGGTGAGGGGAATCCTACAAATTGGTTTGTGCCATGCTTGGATGCGCCACCTAGAGGTAGTTTGGTTCCAAACATGATTAGAACCAACCTTTGGTTGTCCCACTCAACAGTCTGGGAATAACTTACTAAGTAGGCCATATCATAGGTCCACCATCTCTTCTTTTCCCGCATGCATTCATATGGTTGTTTAGAAGCTACTCACCAAGCAAGTTGAGCTTTCAGTGGTTCGGAAGCAGTGCCGTGAGACTGGGGACAACAGGTTGCCCCCTCCGAGCCAGATCGCTTACAATGAGTACACCACTAGGCTGTCCCCCAAATCTATATTTTTTGGTTTGACAAAATATGCAACAGAACATGTTTGTTTTCCGTCTTTGGTTGGTTCTCAGGGACACTCAAAGCAAAACCAGCATTTTGGGGAGTCCCCCAAAAATTGACACGCCTATAGGGCCTATATGAACATATCATATGACTATGCAAAAAGAGGGCATTGCAAGACAGGGGTCTTCGCCCCGATGCAAGGTCTCAGATGTGTTTTGAAGCGACGTTCAGCTTGAAGGCATGGTTAATTTCCACATCCATTGTGGGCGCCAGTCATGTTGGTGCTGGTTAAAGGGCAAGCAAAGCCATTTGGCGCTGGTGCCGGGAACCCCCCACTCTTGAGAACCAGTGTATGCTCTTAGGAGGTCTTACGCCCAATTCTAGAGCAGGCGGTTTGTTGGACGCCAGAAGAGGCAGCCTGTCAGAATGAGAGAATCCTCCATTTAGCGAATGCGTCCATTTGGTTGGCCTCCAGCGCTCCCTTCACCAGTGCAGGTTATTTTTGGTTTACCCCCTTGTCTCTCACAAGTTGTTTTAACCCTTGTAACAAAAGGATTCCCCAAGAAGAAAAAGGAACACTCGGCTCGCTAAACGGGGGTAACATGATGAAGTCCCCTTACCAGGGGTCTTACTGCTATTCGGTATGTAGATCAAAGTAATTTGCGTCCAGAGAGGTTCGTTTTTAGTCCAAGGTTCCGAAAGGTAAACCTTGTATTTTCAGGTTGGTGGGGCCCCTGAAGAGCAACGCGCCACTTAAGCTTCAGTCAGCCTTGTGTGTGTGTGTATGGGTTACTAACAAACGGTTTTCCATGGCTCGTTGACGTGGCGCAGGATTTCACCCATCCGCAGTATTCTTTGTCGAAATGGGGCGAGCTCCCTACACAAGCACATCCAGCTTTGAGACACATCCATTTGCTCCCTTCCTCGGGTCAAACATACTGGCAAACTGGGTCCATTAAAGTTACATCCTCAAAATTGCCGGCTGAATGGGGGTGCCACACCGAGCACAAATTTGGACCCCCCTACAATTCACAGCCACTCTACATGGTTGAAAAGGGAAACAGCTTTGAGAAACACTCCTGAACATGACGTCAGTCTTATTTTTATTTTATTTTTAAGGGGTGCCACGTAACATTGACCACCAAAAAACCATGTCAGGGATACACCAACACCCACCAACATGACATCAGACGTAACTTTGACCACTCAAAATGATGTCAGGGACACACCTTTGAGACACACCCACCATGACATCAGGTGCTGCATCTGAAGGAGGTGGGCAGTTTGGGCGAACCCTTGGCCTGCGTCTCTCCATCGCCCAACCTCTACGAGCAGATCCACCCAACCTGGGCGCCTCAGACGTAGGCTGTCAAGGTTTGGTGGGCTGTTAGCTTTTTTTGCATGTTCCTCTTGTTTTGTTGCTTGTGGTTGATTGTTTACGGTATGTTTGTGGTTGCGTTATGTATGTGTGTGTGTGTGTGTTTGTTTCGTTGGGTTATTGCTCTCTTTGTTTGGCTTGCTGGATTGTTTGTTCGGTGGTTAGTTATGTAGTGTGTGTGTGTGTTTTGCTGTTTGCTTGTGAGTACGTTTGCTTGATTGCTTGCTTGTTTGCTTGCTCGCTTGCTTGCGCGCTTGCTCGCTTGTGTCTTTGATTCCTTGAATTGTTGTTTCATTGTTTAGTTGTTTATTGTTTGTGTTGCTTGTTTGTCTGTCTGTCTGTCTGTCTGTCTGTCTGTTTGTTTCTTTGTTTGTTTGTTTGTTTGTTTGTTTGTTTGTTTGATCGATTGATTGATTGAGTTTGTATTTGTGTATGTGTATGTGGATGTGTTGCTGTTTGCTTGCTTGCTTGCTCGCTTGCTTGCTTGTTTGGTTGGTTTGTTTGTTTGTTTGTTTGTTTGTTTGCTTGTTTGTTTGTTTGTTTGTTTGTTTGTTTGGTTGGTTGTCGGGGTTATTGTTCTATTCTGCGTGGGGTTGCCAAACAGAAGGGGATATTAGTCGAGGGGCTGAGCTCAATCATTTCCCAGATATTTCGGAAGTTTCCCTTGAGCAACCAAGCACAACAAACAGAGGAGCCTATTGTTTTCACCATGGCCACGGGATCTGAATTCACCCACTTCGATTCAGAGGTGGCCGTGCAGAGCCTGCGCGATCGGAACTTTGAGTATGACCGCAAGGGTGCCTTGGATTCAGCTGGCGCTTAACCACTTGTGTTAAGTTGCTTGGCGAGCGGTTTCACTTATTTCGGGGAACAAAAACACGTCAAAGACGTCGACACTTGTTTCACCCAAAACACAAAACCTCGAGCAACTTAACAACCACTTGGGCGTATGTTTCGCCAAGAGCCTTTCGATGTAGGTGTCACTCAGGGGGGCTACGATCTAGCTATTTGAAGCCAGGTTTACGGAAGAAACACAAAGGCAGCAGGCTCAACATCCAAACAGAGCATGCTGGGTACCCGCTCCAACTCTTCAAAGGGTACTTGGGTGTTCGTTGCCAAGTTAGTAAGTGTTTGGTAACCTGGGTTGCAACCGACTTGTAGTTCCCCTAAGTGGGGTGAACCCTGCTGTCAATTGCTTATAGGTGGCTAACGACTTTCTAACTTGGCGGAACATCCCGGTAGCCTTTCAGTCTTTGGCCACTTGAGCGTTTTGATATACCTCTAGGGATGCCTTCCCCATTCTTTCCATTGATCCTTCTTTCTAGAAGACCTGCGGAAACCCAGGGAAAACGGCAGGTTTTTGAAATGAACGATGGTTGAAAAGAATGGGGGAATCAACCCCCAGCATAACTTCTTGCAGGTCTACGTTGGGCCAAGTCAGAGGTCCTCCTACAAACTGTATAGCTGTTTATTGCCTCATTTAGTTTAAAAGGCAAACCTTTCCCGGCATCCCGAATTGGAATCCGCTGCCCTTTCTGCAACCGCGGAGCCACTTCCCCTCCCTCCTTCCTTTCCTCCTTCCTTTCCTCCTTCCTTTCCTCCTTCCTTTCCTCCTGCCTTCCTTTGCCTTCCCTCCCCCTGCTTCCTTTCTCTTCCTTCTTTTCTTCCTTGGCTTCAGTTTCTGGTCAAGGGAATGGGCTTTTACTGAAGGGATTTAACAAAGCAAGTTTACCGATGTTTTACCCCAGGTGTTGATCATCTAAAGGCTTAGAGCAACTCGGTTCCTTTCCCGGTTGCCCGTTCGCCCAGTGCTTTCCTTTTTCCGGCCGGGTTCCTTGAAACAGGCTAGCGTCTCAGCGACCTTGTCCCGACTTATGGCCAAATTGCCATGTTGGGAGGGTCAGGTAAAACAAGCAATAATCAGACAAGTGAATCCTGTTGCTTTGCTGCTTGCAAGTAAGCTTTCTTCGACCCTTTTGCCTCCTGGGAACAAGCAGTTTATCAAGTGTGTGTGTGTGTGCGTGTGTGTTTGATCTCTTCATTCCTATTCACTTGCAAGCAAGCTGTCCTTTGGCGATAGAACAGCCAGCAACAAAGCGAACAGTCAAATTGTATGCTTTCTTTTGCTTGGCCAGCGAGTGGTCTGTCAACATATTGACACGCTGCAACCACAGGTAGCAATAACATCCGAGGCACCCATGAAGCACCGAGTAAGCTTGGGCAACATCAAGTGGGGCTTTTTCTTCGACACGCCCAGACAAGTGGCACTGATACTTTCTGAATGAAAAACCACTTCCACCGAAGCTTCAAGCTTACGGCTTCGGCAACAAACACCGAGATTAACCAACTTCACTCCAAGCACAGGCATCAAGTAAGTGGGCAACAACAAAGTGGGTGTCCTCCCCGCCGTTTCAACGGACAAAGCACTTGCGCCATAGGCAACATCAAGTGGGGCCAATACATGGCCAAGCTTCTGAAGCAAAGCAACCTTCGCAAGCTCGAGCACAAGATCGCCTACGGGCGCCTTGCAAGCACAAGCCTCGAGAGCTTCTCGAGATGTGTACTCAGCTCATTGTATAGTATTGGTTCTTGTGTTTGAACGTTCATTGATTTGGATTTGAAGCCCGTTGAACGCGTACTTGGGTGTTGTGGGTGAAATCAGAAAGACTAGCAGTTCGTGGCACTTCTTGTTTTACGTGGAGGAATGATATGTTCTTCAAAATGGGTGAACCCCCCCCCGCCACAAGAAAGAAAGAAGAGTGGGCAGTTTCCTGTTTTCCTTTCAACACAACCCGCCAACATGAGTAGCTGAACAGGATATCAAGCTCCAATCAAGCTGCAATCGTGCGTGGCTTGGAACCAGCCAGACATTTGGCTTCTGAACCGTCTGTGTAGCGCCCCAACTCGCCTGACGATTCCATGGCAGCTCCCAGAGCTTTTTTGGACGACTTGGCAACCCATTTACAGGATCGGGCTTCTTGGAGCTTTCATGTTAGCCTGAAAAACTGTGAGTGTCATAGATTTGCCTAGACACCCTTTACCCTCCCAGCAAGTAAATGGAACCTGACAGGGACCAGGTCCTTAGAGGGAAACTTGTCCAAAGCAGGACCCCGGAACGTCAGGGTCCATGTTAATTGGTGGGAGGGCAACTAGCTGGCTAACTCGTTGGTAACGATTGCGCTGGTCGTCAGGGAGTAAACCATGTTTGCATCAAGCCCGTTTTCGCGTGGGGCAATGGGGGGGATTTGGTGTGTGCGGGGACCATGCATGCATGCAGTCACACATACAGCGACATATTGAAGGGTGTTCATGTACTACTTGGCACGTATTGAAGCCAGGGGCACTTAGTTATGGCGGTTTCGCTTTGTTAAAAGATGGGAGTAATCACGGAATCGGGGGTTCATCAAAAGAAGCCTGAAGTGGATTTGAGCTGAATAACTTGTTTTTTGAGGGGTTCAAAGGGGGCAGAGTACTTCTCCACTCAGGAAGTTGCCGCGGTTGCGGGCCAGGAGCAAGGCGTCCTCATCGACCCTTGGCTGGGAATTTGTGAAGTCGTGGCCCGTTTGCTCTAAGGGCACCGCTCTCTGTCTCTTTCTTTCTTGCAGGTCCCTCAGTGCTCTTTTGGTCGTTGTCAAGTTTGTAATACCGTCAGGCATCAAAAGCAACTTTTGCTAGCCTGGCTCAAGTGCGATTTTCTCACTATCGCATCAGCATAGAGCACGGTCCCCATATTACCCTTTTGAAGTCAGTCAAACCATGATATGTGATTTTAGTCTCGGCGGTGTTTTCAGGCAAAGAGTTAGGAAGCCCTGAATGTGGAGTTTGGAAGTGTTTTCCTCACCCGCGGCTGGAGGACACTTCCGGCGCAAGAGGAGGACATTTGGTTCAAGATGCAGGCCGATAGCAGGGTTGCACTGATTGCTTTAAGCTCAAGGGGTGGATTCCTTGTCGATGTTGTTCAACCATCGTTCTTGTCAAGAACCATCAGTTTCATGTTCCCTGGATTTCCGGAGGTTTGCTTGAACAAAAACAACTGAACAGAATGGGGAGGGTACCCCTAGATAAGCCACTCAACTCAAACAGTATAAACACGGTTCACCGTGTCTATCTCCATTGTCCAAAGCAAATCGACCTCTTGACCTTTTCTTCTTTCCTTATTTGGTCTAGTTTCAGTTGAGGTTCCAAAAGGCTAGCCTTTTATTTTCAGGCCTTTTGGGCAGGTGAGCCATGCGTACGCCATTAACCACTCCATGGCGTGGACCCGCTTTCCATAAACTCAGTGGTCCAAAGCCGACCTTTGGCCCTTTCGGTTTTCCCGTTTGCTCAATTGGTCACGGGCCCCAAAAGGTGGGTGATCACCAATTTTATTTCTGCTTCCTTTGAGCTGAGAGGAGACATCCACAACACACCGGCTTTGCAAGGAGGGCCCTTTAAATCGGTGGGTGATCTTTTAACTGACCAGACCATCCTTTCATGGCCGGTCTTTGATGATCTTAGACCTTTGGGAAAGACATACTCTTCAAGACGCGAGTGCTCGGGTTCCAACCGGAACAGTCTCACCTGGGTTTGTCGAGGGAACACAAATTTGCGATGTCCCTTTGCGTTCCCTTTAAAACCAACCAACAGGGGTATCTTCAAGACAGACCCGCCTGTGGAATCTGTGAATGAATTGGGCATGCCAGGAAGCAGCTGAGGAGGAGGAAGAGGAGGACGCTGAGGAACTCTTCCTCCCAATAATTTCCGCGGAAGACGGGCGAAACAGCCTGGATCTTCCGCCGAAATCTTCCGTCTGACTTTTACCTCTTTCGCGGCGAAAGCTTCTCGCTGGCGAAACTGTTTCGTGCTCGCCAACAACTGCGGCCCTGTATTTAGATATGTGTTAAAACTACTGACCACCTTCGTCTTTGATGGGAAGAACAAAGGACACTTGTTGCATTTTTGGAGTTAGGAAGCAAGCCCCTACGAAACGGGGAAGCACCCCGTTTTGGGGATCCATCCTTTCCAGCAGGAGTGCGCCTTTCAAGTTTTCGATGAGGCCACAGCTTCGGCATCCAAAGTCGAGCCGAAGTGACTGATCGATTTAGAGGTTTACTCAAATGGGTGTTCCTCCGGGTGTCCGGGAAGTTGGCGGGCTCACATGGCGTTCATTGTCTTATGGCTATTTGGTTGGATCTTTGGACATTAACTTTTTGATTGAAACAGCGGACTTTCCATTGGACCCACAACAAGTTGTTGTTTCTTTTGCAGAGGGGTCAACAAGCAACCAAGGTTTTATTGTGAGTAGAGGTGTCCCATGTCAGAGGGAGATGTTTTAATTTTTGGGGATTCCCCGTGTGGATGGACAACTTCCACAAACGCACCAGGTGGCATGCATGAAACCCAATGAATTTTGGGATGTTTACCACCTTACATCCGCCGGGATTTTGCCCATCTATCAACCAGGTGAATTCGATTAATATGATATAATATGATCATAACTGGGGTTTGGGAAGATACTCCTACTGCAAATACCCACCTGAATTGGTGTATGCCAATCCTATGTGGGTGTGGGGGTTGATCAATGTCCTTGCCCCCAAAAAGGAGTTATGTTTTCCAGTTAGGTTCCCTCTGAGAACCCCCAAAGAGGATTGTAACTCAATAAACACACAAGACCAGAAACACTGATTCTGCTATTGCAGCTAAAACCTGTGGTGTTTAGTGACTACTTGGGCCTCTAGGGTGTTCGATTCGCCACATCTTGCCATGGTGGTTGACCCCCTGCAAAAAGTTTAACTTTTTGTGGATCCAATTCGCAAAATCCAATGATTCCCAAAAGTTAAAGTCCCAAATTGGGTAACTTTTCCCATGGAGAGATCGTATCATTTTAGTGGTTTTACAATGACCATCCTATGTACTTCGGACCTTTTGATCAACCCTGTGTTTGTGGGTATGGTCTGGGACTTGGAAGCCCTAGCTTTCTGGCTATTTGGTAACGGATCTTTGGGTGCCCATCCATACTGTGGATGGGTTTGAAGTCCATTTCGCACCACCTTGAGACCATGGTTGAAACCATTCCTAGGTATTTACAGTTCGAATCAGAAACCATCATTTCTGAACGGTACGTTGGATGGAACTCGCAACGTATTGAACCCCGCGCCCATATTCGGCTCCATCGAATCTAAAGCCGGAGCTCCAAGAAGCGGCTCGTGAGCGGCGAAAGCGAGCCGACAGCGGGGCTCGTGATGTGTCTGGCGATGTTTTTCTTCCTTCATCATGCGAAAATGAAGGCCGAAACAACGAGAACTAGCTTGGCCTAAAAAAATAGAATGGGACTGGGTACAATAAACCAGCTTACAAGATTATGATAGGACAACACAGTCAACAAAGTGTGTAATTGTGTGGTCCTTTACGTGTTCTGGGATACGCCCAAATCTATACTCGTTCAATACCCCGTACGTACGTTGGTGACCTCTGTTGGGGCAAGCGGATTTGGCTGAAATGTTTCTTCACACGCCATTTGGGAAGCCAAAGAGCCCGGGAGAGTTGAAGTTTCTACTTGGGTGTTCGATTCGCCAAGTCAGGAAGTCGTAACCCCCTCCCATTTCAGTGAGGTTGACCTTGTTATTGGTATTACCCGCTGGGCCAACCACTTTCGAACCGTTCGAGGCGGAACATCCAAGTATGAAATACTGTGGATGGGATTGAAATCCATTTCGGACCGCCTAAGATTCCCTGGAATGATGATTCCCGTGAATACCAACAAACTAATGGTTTCCCATGTTTCAAAGTGGTGCAGGATTTTGTCCATCCACAGTAGGGAGCTAAACAGTTCAATTCTTCCCCCCCCAATATAGTTTGTTGGATTCATCCATCATCATCACGTCAAGGGTGATGTTGAGCGTGGAAACTGGCTCAAGGCCCCAGTTTAACGGCATGAGCGCCTATTGGGACTGTTTGACTCATTGGTTGATTTCCGACTATCCTTCTTTCCAAACACCAGCCGGATCCCCCGAAAATCGGGAAGTTTCCCCTGGGCCCGAACAACGGGAAGCTTCCCCGGCAACCACCAGTTTTTGGAGCGGCCCTGAACGGTTTTGCCACGCTGTCTTGAACTTCCCGAAGACCTCTAGACCGGGACCTCTTACATCTTTTTACTTTCACAAGGTTCATGACCTATAGACCACAATCAAACCATGTCAGTCGTTGGCGAGACGGGGGTACGAACATGGAACTCCCCGTCATCATAGAGCACCCCGTCATCATAGAGCTTGTCCTAGGACATTTCGGGCCGGGTGGGATGTCTCCGTCAAAACATTGAAATAAGCTCCCACATTCCAGGCGTTACGAGGCACCCCTTCCTCTCAGGGGTCCCGGAAGCTTTCCACGTTGTTTCGTTCGAGGGGTAACTTTACTTGGATGCGTATATGACCAATAAGTGCGCCATCCCTGGTGTTCGCACGAAGCTTTCGTATCAGCCACTTAGTCAGATTGAAAATCCAAGTGTAGACAGCGGTGCAGTGAGAAGCTGGCCATGGATCCTTCGCTCAAACTTGTGGACAAATCCATGTTTTCGGGCTAACGAGCCCCCAACGTTCAACTTTCCCAGCATTGCTCAGATGTTTCAGTTGGGTCTTTGGCCTGAGACCCACAAAGGAATCTTAACTTAAAATGGAGTTCGGAACCCTTTCTGGTTGCTTCCATATGCTTCAGCATATATTTCTTATTTTGGTTTCAACGGGAATCTATCACTTCTGGAAATATGTTAACTCTCATTGTTTCCAGGGGACGTATTCACAATCGAAGGTTGCCTCGGTCGCCGGAAGGACCCACAAAAAAGTTGACCGTTTGTCCCTAAAAACGGCTTGGATTTGCGCCGTGTGTGGATTTCACCTGTTCGAAACCCCCGTGTTGGTCCTTTTGTTGTGCTCCTTTAGTACTCTCTTCATATTCTACAGGGGTGGTTCCACAAAAGCCGCAGAAGTTTCCGGATTTTAGGACCATGACTAAACATGGACCAACGAGGGGACCCGTTGACCTGGCGCGGGAGCCACCCTTGATTTAAAAAAAAAGATAGTCGATCGAAGGGTCGGCTACCAGGGGCGAAACGACGAAACGGATTCCTGGGATCCACTGGAGTTTCTTGCTTTCAGCTTGCTCCTGTTGGCTCAATGGCTTCGTTCTCAAAGGAGCTCCGGAAGATGTTTGTTTTTGGTTTTGGCCTTCCTGTAAGCACCCCACTCCAAGCGACTCGACATTTGGACCTTTGGGTGTAGCTTCTTTGGAAATCCCAAGCTTTATGCCCAAGAGCCTTAGGTTTTCTGGGGGGAAGTCAGATATTTGCACTTTGGCTTCCCTTTTGACCAGTTGACTGGAGCACATGGTTGTGTGTACCAGACAACATCGGACCTGTTGACCGGGATGTGTTGGGACAAGACTGTCCATTTTGGTTTAGTCACACCCTATTCTTGCCCACAAGGGGATTGTGCCATCTACTTCTCACCCCAGCATGTGTGCCGGATCCCCATGTAAGCTGAGAAACCAGCCTCCCGCAATACTCAACCAGGTTTAGACAAAGAGTTCCTCACTTCTTAAGTTCATGGACTTTAAGGTTTTTGAATTTGGACCATTTTTGTGACACTCAAAAAGTGTGGTCACTTCTTTGTGCCCATCAACTCGATCGGACGTGAGTTTCTCTCAACAGGTTCCGTTTTTCTCAGTTGCCTCGATTTTGATCCGGGTCGGCCCCGTAGGTACCCCGTTTTTGTGGTGTGAAAGGGACACCAAGAGAAAAACACATTTTTTGTGTGAGGGTGGGCCAAACTTGTCTAGATATGAACTACCTGTGAGACTGGGTTACTTAAAGGCCCGTGACAACTCAGGTTCTAAGAGTGGTGTAAAAGTCTAGTGAGACACAATCAAAACCTGATGTTAAACTGGGGTATCCTCTAAACATACGTTATATGTTGCAGTAGACATATGAAACAGAATCTGAACATTTGCTGTGTACCCTTCTCGCTTGGGCGAATGTCTGATAGGTAATCTCAAGCATCGTTGCTGGGTTGATTAGATTGAATGGTTCTCACATATCAACTTTGCGGTGCGGAAAAAATCAATCATGAGGAACACTCAAGGAACACTCAGGGAACCCAGAGGGTCCCTTGCTACCTTCTGAGGATGTAACCAAAAAACGGGGGTCAACAGGGGTCAAATTTGCTGCAACCTCATGTACCAAGGGAGGGCAAGGCTGAGCTCTTGGACTGTACTCACTATTTGGGGTTCGGACGATTTTGTGCGGCTACAAACCTAGATCCCCAAGTAGTTCCCTTTCACCAACTTTTTGGGGAGAGTTCTCCTACTAACATAGACTACAGAAAAGATCTTTTCAGGAGACCAAAAGCTGGTTCGGGGACACCAAACTGGTTAGTTGCCTGTTGGTTCCGGAAAAAAAGAAGCAACACACAAATCAAAAAACAACAAACAACAAAAAATGAAAAAAGAACAACACCCAACCAAAAGCACCCTCCACTCCGCCGGAATCGGCCAGGGAGAGGCTTTCGAAGCTCAAGGGCCTCCCACGTTTGCAGGCGACGGGCGATGGCCGGAGGCGAAAAAGGAAAGAAAGAGGCAGAGCTCGTGGTGGAAGACAACAGAAAAACAAGAAGCAAAGTAATGGTTGTTGTTGGGACACATGTTTTTGTTTTTTGCTTATTGTGGTTTAGTGGGAATTCCCCACTTAACTGCTAAAATTTAGATTTTTGCTCCCCTTCCAACGTCAACCAAGAGGTGGAGGGCCCCCAACAGCCCAACCGAATCT